TGTACATTGTTCTCATCATCTGGAAACCATTAAACGCAATGTTTCCTCTTATCAGCCCCAATTTTGCCTTTGGTCACCGTTCAATACCCTGCCTCTATCATAGATCTATTCATCGCGCCAGAAGGGGGCGTTATTGCTTACTTTGAGAAACGCTGAGCTAAAATAAAAGTCAATGTGTTAGAAATATTCAAGTTGTGACCTTCAATAAAAAATAAAAAATATATAAAATGTCAACATTTTATATATATTCCGTCGAATTTTTATATATAGAATTTGTCTGCCGTCGCCCCTCTATATTTCCTTAACGCCCCCCAATTCTCTTTGAGTCTTCTACTGCCCCCCTGAAAGCCTCCAGTGCCCACAAGGGGGCGTTATCGCCCACTTTGAGAAACGCTGCTGTAGACTAATGATAAGACTATTGAAATTTTTTGGGAAAAAACAAATTTATCTAATTCCAAATAAGATTTTTGATTATTGTATATTTTATATTATGTTTTATGAATATTAATGGTATTTAGCATAGAATTTGTATCATTAAAATAATGGTCTTATGAAGTAAAACTGCAAGTTTACAGTACAAAACAAACAGATGAAGACCAGTAAAAATATCGAAAAATGTCCCATCAATCGATATTTTTATATACTTTTCATAATTATTAGCTATTTATGACGTAAATAATATTCTAGAATATATGTGCACTCAGAAATCATATAAGGCATAAATGCATATACATAGTGTTTCCTAAAATAAGAATGGAATCGATGTTCATTAGTCTACATAAGTGACAGAAAATAATTTCGTGTTCATTACAAAGTAGAATACAATATGTACAGAACAAATATTTTAAAAAATTGTAAGACAGTTTTAAACTGTTATATTTTGAAATTTCTTGAAAAAGCGTCGAACATTTCAGAGATTATACAAATCTTATAATTTTCTAATATGCTCTATTTATACATACATTATGTTCTACTTCGTAACGAACACGTAACAATTTTCCTTCACGTATGCAGACTAATGAATACGGCTCCCAGTATTTTGGAAATGACTCCAGTGGTTATATATAATAGATCCTGCTTTACGACTGACTTAAATTTTACTATTATAACTGTATGAATACCATATTTTGCCATAATATTTTTGTTAGATATCTCTGTAGTGTTGTTATGTTGTTAAAACTCAATTTATAATACTAAACATTTAAGAAATGCGACAAAGCGTTTTCCAACTACCAATTAAGTCTTAAAAACAGTGTTCTTTTGTATTTACTTAGTCTACTTTAATTCAAAAAAAAAAAAAAAAACTTAAATTACTGTATTTTCTAATAATTTGCATGAATTATGAATAAAATAATTAAAACTTTGTAATCAGGAAAATAGTAATAGAATGTTTATGTGAATATGAAAAATATAACTTTGTAGATAGAATCTGTGATCGAATATGAACCGGGTATTACTGACATAACTCAAGAATTAGAAGAAAAGAAAGAATTATTTTGTCGTGTATTCATTTTATATGCAAAGTAAGTACATACTTAATATAATTATTTGTTTTTAATATTATTTCAAAACAATTTAAGCTTGGATAGTAATTTTACTACAGAACAATGCTTTTACGATGTAAGAGGAATGAAACTACAAGAACAACTTATTCATTTAATATTATTGAATAAATGAATAATTTATATTGGAAATATGAATCAGAGCTATACGACAATCTTACATTTATAAGTAATAAAACTTTAAAATTTTAAATTAAATCCATTTTTAGAGGATTTTTATCCGCTTCAAAAATAACTAAAAATGCAGCATGATTTCATTTCAAAAAATTTATAATTCGTTGAGAAAAACATTTAAATTTTTTAAATCTACTTATAAATTTAAAAATTTGTATTAATTTTTATAAGTATTGACGAGATGGTTGAAAGGAAACGTGTCACAATAGAGGGATTCATGTTTAATTCTTGTTTTCTTTTGTAGGCCCTATGGAGAATGAATTTTTGTAATTTTATTCTTTATTTCTATTGTATACTTTGTTTTATATTAGGAATAGTATTATTACTTGAATAATTCGAATAATAATAATAATGATGATGTGAAAACGAACATTCGTTCTCCACTTCAATAAGTAATGCAAATCTTGCAAACTTACAGTTTACAGCACGTCATTCGTTGCGACGATTTACATTTCGAGTCCTTGACTCTTATCAGCTGCGTGTTGCAAATAAGTCATAAATTGTATTAATTATACTCAAAACAACTTAAATTAATAGAAAATGGTAATAGCTTATTTGATAGCATCTTTTTAAAGTGAGAATGCAAACTATGGAGTTGAAACTTTATACATTCATTGCCATAAAAATTAGTGCACCAAGAAGTTGTCGGAATTGAACGAAACTGTACATGTGTGAGTGTAATAGTGAAATAAGAAAGTGATTACAAAATGAAAGCAAAAGGATTATTAGGCTACTTGCGGGAAAAACTACAAATGAAAGAACGTTCTAGTACCCTGTTGGGCCACCTCTAGCGTCAATACACAAGGTGACACGGGCGGCATGGAGGCATATAGATGCCATGTGGTGTCCTGCGGCATCTCGGTCCACAGTTGCTACAAGCGGTCCTCTAGTTAGGCCAAACTTCTAGGCTGTCCAACTTGGCAATCCAGGTGATCCCAGACATGTTCGATCGGATCACGGGACCAGGCAGGCCAGGGAAGTTGGCAATGTGGCGGGGGCAGTCCTATGACCACACACTTGCTGTGTGTGGTCGAACATGGTCGAACATTGTCCTGTTGGGAAATGGCAGGCTCTTGAACCCTGCCATTAGAAACAACACATGTGGCTGCAGGATGTCACTAACATACCGTTGGGCTGTCACGGTCCCTTGGATCACAAGTAGATGTCATATATGATAGCACCCCAGACCATCACACCAGCTGTGGGGGCTATGTGTTACTTTAAAACGTAGACAGGATTGAGGCGTTCACCACGTAGTGGTGAACGCCTCAATCGTGGCCTCCAGAAACGAACACGGCCGAATTCAGATTTAGTTTCGGCCAGTGCCCAAACTAAATCTGAATTCGTCTATGTAGACGACCTGGTTCCATTCCGTTGTGATTCAATCCCGTCGGGAGCGACAACAATCCAAAAGGAGGCGACGGTGGGTGGCTGTCAATGGCAGCACATGTAATGGCCACCGTGATACCAAATGTTCCTTACCTAGACGCCTCGAAATGGTACAGAAAGACACAGGGGTCTGTAACGATGGCGCCACCTGTGTCCGGATGGCATACAACTATACGGTCGGCTGTGTGCGTTTTTGTCGGAGGACCAGACGGTCCTTTCGTCTAGTAGTCCTGAGCCTGAGCGCTGTGTGTGGGAGCTATCTCTCGGCCATTGGTCCCATCACCTTTTCACAGTGTTGTTAGAACGGCCTAGATGGCGGGTTATTCGGTTAGATGACCACATGGCTTCTCTCAACCCGATAATCCTTCCCCTCTCAAACTCGGTTAGTTGTTCATATGGTCTTTCAGTTGTGACGTAAATGCATCACTAATGATACAACGTCCCTTTGCAACGTCCCTCTGCAACCACAGACAGGATGCCTTTGCAAACTTTTTTATAAGCTAAGGGGGACTTATTGTGTAATGCCTTCCGCAATGAGTTATCATGAGTCATTATTTTCATATCTGCTTAAGATTTATCTCCATGCCAAGTTTCGCAGCGATACAATTCCTTCTTGGTACACTAATTTTTATGGTAATGGGTGTGTATCTGGAGGAGAACAAAACGTAGACAGGATTGAGGCGTTCACCACGAAGTGGTGAACGCCTCAATCGTGGCCTCCAGAAACGAACACGGCCGAATTCAGATTTAGTTTGGGCACACGTCAAATTACTTCGCTTTTCTAGTTTGCACAATTTATATTTTAAAGAGAATGGAAGTCACAGAGATTTCTATATAATTTTAAAAATTCATATGAAAGACAATAATTTTATAAATTTTATACAATAGGAATTGCATTACTTTGTTTCTTTTACTGGTTAATATTTTGATATTCATCATAATCGCCAAAATTGCTCTCAATGCTGTAGTAGTAAATGGCATCGATAGGTCTATGATCCAGACGTATTCGGTTTTATTTCAATAAATAAAACCGAATACGTCTGGATCAAATAAATAAATAATCCGAATAAATAAATCAGATCCATTAAAAGAACATTAATGGATTGTTTATATTTTTCATTCAAGTCGCATCTCATTGCTCTATAGAAGAATATTCAGTTCCATTGTGGTGGATTTATTTCTTACTAGTACATCCAGACAATTCAATACAATAATATAAAACAAATTATGCGGAAAGATTTTGATATGAAATATGAAATAATAAATTTCCTTTAATAATTATGAAAATTAAAAAAAAAAAGACAATCCACAAATAGATTACTTGCACCGTACAGTTGTTCGTTGCAAGTAATCCATTCATCTATTATAAGCCATGAAACTTCACAATTATATAAGTAACATATAGCATGGAAAGTAATAAAAAAGATAAATCTAGTTACAAAAAAAAAATATGAGAACATAAATGTCAAAAAGTTTTGCTCTTTCACAAAGAAACAACCTAAATTTCTATGCGAGTCACGTCATAACTGTAAGAAGTAAAGCATCCCTGGTTTTAGATTTTAACTGATATATAAGGGAAGATAAAGAAAATGTAGTATGTTTTCCTTCAGTTTTTGAATAATTTTGTAATATAGAGCAAATTTTCTTCTTATTTTCTGTATACATTAACTTACCAAAGTAAAAATAAACATCAGTTAAAAATTTATTTTTCAAAATAAAAATGAAATAAAAATATATATTTTTGAAGACAAAAACAATTTAAAATTATTAAAAGATTTTTAAAATAAAATAAGATAAATAATATTATATAACATTTTAATTGATGAAAACCGAATTCATCAGGAAACGAAAATTTACTTAATTTTCATATATTTATATAAGTTAAAAATAGTTATAAAATTATTTTATAATTATATATTTAATTTATTAAAGACTAAAATAGCAAAAATTGTATTTTATGGTCAATAAATTGTTTCAAAAGTAATCAAAGTAAGTGCTTACATAAAATTTTTAGAACTTGCAGCATTTGCTGAGATTTATTCTTTGCAACACCTCAGGAGAATTTATTCTCCTGTGAGATAAATCTTTCTTAAATTGTATTTTCTATAAAAATNAAAGTTGGTATATTTTAAGATTTTAAAGTATTTATTTCTTTATTTTTACTAATTATTTATATTAATTAAGTATAATTACATTACATTAATTATATAAATAAAAATACAAATTTATAAGGTATCAAAATACCAAGGGATCAAGCTACCTTAAAATATAAGTAAAATTATATTGAGTACAGCTAAACGAATACTACGATTAATATCCTATTTATTACAATTGGATTTTATGATATATAAAGTTTAGAAACATAATAGAAACGTAAAAATGTGGTGGATATAACAAAAGTTTTTGTTTTCCTGCTACTGTATTTATTGATTTTTCGAATGAGTCAACCAGGAAACGGAAGTTGTTGCGATATATAGGTTAAATAATGGATTGCCATAACATCGAATGGCTTAAACAATTATTTTTCTCTGTCAAAAAAGATTTTATAGTCTATTCAATATACCTTATCGATTTACAGAATGAATTAAAGTTGGAAATAGAAGCTGAAAAATGTTGAATAGACACGCTGCAGTTCTTTCGATTTGTTCGCGAATTACTAGTTTTAGAAATGTTTTAAAATTAAATAATAAAATTAAAAAAATTAAGGTTTAATAAGTCACTAAATAATTCAATTCGTAAGTTTTTATTAAGTAGCAGAAGTAGCGTATCTCTTGGATTTAAGATTTAAGTAATCATTGAATATAAGATTTATAGAATTAAGAGAAAAATAAGACACAATAAATTATTAAATTTAATTTTTTTTAATTCTAAGATACTTTAATAGCTAAGAAGTAACATAATATATCACTTTACATCTTTACTTTAATCCAATGTTTTTTTAAATTAATATCCAGTCCAAGATACACAAAACTGTGAGAATTTCTCAATAATTGTCAAGAATTTATAATATTTATTTTACTAGTTTATGTATAATAGCCAGCATATTAATATATTTAAGCATATATATTTTTATAAACAAAATTTTAAAAACAATTTATAATATTGATTAATTATTGTGCAAAGTAGTGTGCAATTAGGGGCTAAAATAGCTTACATATATATAACTAATGGTAATTAAAATCTGTGTTTTAATCAGTTTTTAATTGAAATTCGTGAAAATACATAAGTATTTTTAGATTCACATTTATATAAGTTTTATCTAAAATTTCTAAATTTTTGCATAATTGTAATCATATAAATTACGCTTACAGTTGATAAAAATGTATTAAATTCTTAGAAAATGGCAAAGAAAATATTGTCGCATATGCTCCACTAATAGTTTAGAGAAAGTGCTATTACAGTAACATTATATACAATTGTATTATATTGTGTATATTTTCAATGTTTAACATGTAGATCATTTCAGTACAAAAGATGCAGATGGAATATTTCGTGAAGTAGATAGATTAAATATGACGTCGTCGGGATATGTTTGGTTAGTTTCTGAACAAGCACTTTCAGCACCAACTAAATTGGATGGTAAGTATACATGATAATTCTAATTCAACATATAAAAGTTTTATAGTAAATTAGTTATTAGTTATTTTTAAAATATTTTATAATCAAAAGATTTAAACTTGTAACATGCATTTTTTTATTTAAATAAATATATCTACATATGCAAAGAATATGGCTTAAGAAACAGTTTACAGATTATTCTTGATGTATTTTATTATATTTTATTATAATATTATTACAATTAAACCCATGTTTAAGTTAAAGAAGAGGATTTTAATTTTGAATGATGCAGGCTAAAATCTTATTTTATAAATTATTTGAGATTTACAAGTAGAATCCGAACCCGCTCCCTGTTAGTATTACATAAAGATGTGGGTTCGGATGGATTCAGTTCTTTACCAAATACAGTAGCATTAAAAGCATAGGTAAGTTAGAAAATCATGATTGTCCTATTTCCTAATTCTAGAAACATTTAACAATAATTCTATGAATATAATTAAAAGATAAATTCAAGTTTCAAATACCAGGTCAAAGATGATATTAATTTCAAATGGTATATTTTAGGTATTCTAGGAATACAATTAGTGAATGGAAGCGACGAAGAAGCTCACATATTTGATAGCGTTTATATTATTGGTTTAGCATTGAAAGCGCTTTATCATAAAGAAAATATAACAGAACCACCTTCTAATTGTGATAGTAAAGATAAGAATTGGGAGACAGGAGAGAAATTTGTACAGTAAGTACAGTACATATAATTATTGTTTTCATTATTATAATCACATTGTATTTTATTATACTGTTTAGCATGTTCTTAGTACAATATTTTGTCCTTATCACTTCAATAGCTGCAGAGGCGTAGCGTGGGGGTCAGCCGCCCGGGTCGAAGAAAAATTTCGCCGCCCCCTTATTTAGGTATCTCAATTTAAAAGACTAAAATTCAGTTTCGTCACAGAATAAGTAACGAAAAATTCCGTGCTAATGTTGCCACCTTTTTAAAATCGCCGATCCTGACGGCAGGTGAGGTTTGTTCGAACAGAAGTTCCTGACGCATGCGTATATCATTTTGTAATGAAGAATAATTTGCAGTGCATGCTGGTTCTAAATCAGTTATACTTAGCGACTAGGGAGACTTGGGTAGGAGTAACGCAAGTAATGTAGATGACTTAGCCCTATTGGATATTGGAGGTGTATATGAGTACGAATGAATCGTATAAAAAAAAAAGGTCGACAGGTTGCGCAAGATATCCCCGGACGGCGAGTCGGATGGTGACACTATTCCCACTATTCCAGATCCTTTGAATCGGTCCGAATCGTAAGTGCACGAAAATATGAAATAAAATGGTTCAAATTCTTACAAGATATTATTATTATTTATTGTCAAATTTTTCCGCCCCCTAAAACGTAATTTTGCCGCCCCTAAAAAGTGCCGCCCCTGCCGCCCCCCTACGCTACGCTACTGAATAGCTGACACTTTCCTATCTACCGATATTCTGCGAAAATTGCCATGTAACAATTTATATATTTGTAAGTACAAAAACATATGTAAATTATATGTTTTTATTCAAATATATCGTTCCGGCACAGTTGATCACGTTATTGTGCACCAGAGTGATTCTTGTTGCATTACTTATTAGAAACTTAATGTTCTTTTTGAGGATTCGTGTAGAAACAATTATAGAAGAACCTCTGTTTTCTTCAATAAATGTTTGGCAATAAAAACTTTACTAAAGAGATTTAATCATGTAATACCTTCCTAATGTTTTCTCTGTATAGACAAATTCTTGATAGCTCTAAACAAGATGGCATTCCTATCTTTTTTAACGATAAACTGAGGATTCGCAATAAAACAATATCTTATAACTCCCAATGAACGTATTACTTAGGATCCGTGATAAATATTATATTTTAATGGTGTATTAGTCCCTAAGATCGTTAATAAGTAATAGGAATAAAATCTTGTAATAGAGAAATTCCTGAGAATTCTCAATAAGTCAATACCTTAGTGATAAATGAACCAATAAGATTCCATCTTCTATCTTGTGATAGATAAGTCTCTGAGAATCTTCAATAAGACTATATTGATTAACAGTTATATGCAGAAGAAACTGCATTTATTTCTGATTTGTTACAGACAGGGCAAATAAGTTTAAAGGTTAACTTTCCTGTAATGAAAACAAAACAAAATAAGTATTGTAACAAATATGAAATAAAATCCTATCCTATATGCCTAATAATATAATAAACTTTCTCTTTAGGATCTAATTGAATACTGAAAACTCGTCGTTATAAGTCGAACTCTAATTTCCTATAGGTTCAGTGCTATATATTGAGATCAAGTTCTTTAAAATGCAGATTAAATTATATAATTATTACATATTATTACAATGAGATGACTAATAATAAAGTAACATTTTATACAGCCGCAATATAGAGTTTTTGTCACTCGCAAAATCGAGGATTTAAAAGAATTGAAAGATCGTGAAACGGAGATTTAATTTATACTAACTTGTAAATAATTATTTNCTTCTGGGAAACAACACAATTAAAAGTAATTACCGATAAATCATTTGCATAATGTTACAATTAGTTTATACAGCAATGTTAAATTAATTTAGCATAACCGTTTTATCACAGCTAGCAAATTTATAGCATTTATTTATAACATATCCTTTCGTAGATACAGTATAAATGTTACATATAACTAATGTTAATAATTAACATTAGATATTTGTTAATTTTAAATTCTCTTTTATGTAACTTATTCCACTCTAAAATTCAAATGTATTTTGTTCTTCTGTTGTTGTTCTGATGGCCTATTAGAGGCTGAAAACGTTCCTGTATTAAAAAAATTATAAGTGTTTCTAATATAGCATTAATAAAAATGCAATATACAAAGAGGTAATAACAATTTCTGTATGTTAATTACAATCCTAATAATCTTCTGACTATTTAATTTAAATATAAGGCCTAATTTTGTTAAATTTGTAAAAAATAAAAAAATATACATTTTATAGTTATCATCTTAATTATAATTTAGTAATATATATATATATATATATTACTAAATTATAATTAAGATGATAACTATAAAATGTATATTTTTTTATTTTTTACAAATTTAACAAAATTAGGCCTTATATTTAAATTAAATAGTCAGAAGATTATTAGGATTGTAATTAACATACAGAAATTGTTATTACCTCTTTGTATATTGCATTTTTATTAATGCTATATTAGAAACACTTATAATTTTTTTAATACAGGAACGTTTTCAGCCTCTAATAGGCCATCAGAACAACAACAGAAGAACAAAATACATTTGAATTTTAGAGTGGAATAAGTTACATAAAAGAGAATTTAAAATTAACAAATATCTAATGTTAATTATTAACATTAGTTATATGTAACATTTATACTGTATCTACGAAAGGATATGTTATAAATAAATGCTATAAATTTGCTAGCTGTGATAAAACGGTTATGCTAAATTAATTTAACATTGCTGTATAAACTAATTGTAACATTATGCAAATGATTTATCGGTAATTACTTTTAATTGTGTTGTTTCCCAGAAGAACTTTTAACATTTTTCCGACTATTGTTGGATCCTGGAGGTGTAAAAAAGGACGAAATATGACGGCATTTTTATTTTAATTTAGTGTTTTTCTACCTCTGTGAGTTTTTATAGCAGTATTATACTTAATAGTTTTTATCACAGTTAGTCAATTTACAGCAATTATTTATAATATATTCTTTCGTAGATACAGTATAAAAATTATGTATATGTCTTAATAATATAGCTTTTAAATTGTTTAATTAAAGCCATTTTATAGTAACATACGTAAAATGTTATTACTACTTTGTACATTACATTAAACAGTATTGTTGTTATTCTTTATGCCGTATTAGGTTATTGCAAATGAAATGGCCGACTTTCACTTCTGACGTTGAACGTTTATTAATTTAATTTAAAACTTGCATATTCAATCAAAATTGTCTCCACGAGCATTAATACGCTTTTCCCAATGTAACAGAAATGAATTAATGCCAATTTGATAGAAATCACGAAAATGAGAAGCCATTAAAGATACTTTTTAATGCTTCCTCTCCGTTAAAGACTTTCCTTGCCATAAAACATAAAAGTGGTAGTCTGTTGGCAAAAAGTCTAAAGAATAAGGTGAATTGGGAAGAATTTCATTTGAATACTTTCATTTTTGTGACGAATAATTAAAGAACTACAGACCTCTAAATCATGCTCCTTAACTTATTCAATTCTATAAATCTTTCGTAGCTTAATTAATTTTAACTTTACATTTATTTTTTACATATGAAATTATATGTATATATCGTATATATCTGTTTTACGTTTTAAAAGTTTTAACGAAATTATAATGGTTTTTTTTTATAATATTACAGGCTAAAGAAAAAATGGATTTGCAGTTAAACTCTAATATAATTGTATGGCCTGGAAATTTAACTGTAAAACCTTTAGGTTACATTGTACCGACTCATTTAAAGGTATATAAAATTTTTACGTATTTTTCTAAATTGAATTTATTTTAATTACACATATTATTAATTAATTAATTGTCATTAACATGGTACATTTTTAAGTGAGTTAAAACCCGCAAAAGTTTGATATGCTAAACAATATAATTAAGAAAATATTTTTTAAAGACCAATTTCATTCATTCATGAGTGTTCTCTCCTAGGACAGGTCCGTGGAAAGCAGTCAAATTATAGAATTCTCCTTCTCCAATATTCTCTATTTCGGACATCCTCTTTTATTTCTTTATAAGTTTTGCCTAGTAAAACATCATCTATCAATACTTTTCCTCTTTGTTTCCTTGCATCAACTTTTCCTTCTAATGCCACTCGCATTAATCCTTCTCCTCGCAATATATGACCTAGCCAGTTATTTTTTCTTCTTTGTACTGTTTTTAAAAGAGATCTCTGTTCCTGGATCAAATTTAAAACATCTTCATTCTTAACCTTTTCTGTCCACTTGATTTTTTTCCATTCTTCGCCATAATCACATTTCATATGCTTCAAGATAGTTTGTTTCCTTTTTCCTTAAGGTCCAAGTCTCTGTACCATATAAAGTTGTGCTCCAGGAAAAGCATTTCATTTACTTCTTTTTAAGTGTTTGGTTCATTTTTCCAATAAGAAGGTTCTTATAAAAAGCCATTTTCCCAGCCCTGATTCGTTCTTTGATTTCTTTTTCACATCTGCCGTCTCCCTGAATAATGCCAAGATACCTAAAATGTTGAACTTGCTCTATTTTGTTTCCATCAATTAGGATTTTCAAATCTTTGCTAATTAGCCTTCCAACTTTCATCACTTTTGTTTTAGCTATGTTAATTTTCATTCCAAATTTTTTGCAAGTTTTGTTGAGTTTTGTTACCAAACATTGTAGAGTTTGTTCATTTGGTGCAAGTAAAGCAATATCATCTGCAAACCTAATACTTTGTATTAATTGGCCTCCAATTTTAATTCCGAGACTGTCCTCACTTATGGCTTCATTCATTAATTCCTCAAGATAAATGTTAAAAAGAGTAGGTGAAAGTGTACACCCTTGCCTGACTCCTTTTCCAATACTGCATGGTTTGCTTTCTCCAGTTTTTGTTCGGATNTGTACTTTTAAACAGTGGAATTGGCGAAGGTTCATTATCTAACTTATTAATGATAATAGTATATAATTCTGTATTTTATATCCAAAATTTATTTATTTTTAAATAGGCACGCCTCGTAGTTTTAGTGCTAGGGTATTGGGTATGGTTTGGGCAATGCTAAGTTCTTCCATTTTCATATTTTTTATAATTGAAGATAATTTATGCTTCCATCACTAAAACTTTTGGCGCTGTAAACACGCTGAAAGCACACTTTATGTAATCAGCGCTAAAACTGATAAAAATTAAGTAATATTTAATAAATTAAAGTAAATGTATGCTATATTGAGTAAAAATTTTTGATAATATTGCATAGTATTTTGAATGTTATCATATATACATCCTTGATTAAATGGCTTTATTATATGGTTTATTCTGCGAATATAAACGGAGGATTATTATGACCACACTAAATATATTTATTGTGCATTTGAGAATCGGAATCGAACCTGGATCTATCGATTTTAATATCCCTCTTCTGCATCTTATCCCAAAGTTTGATGATGCCATATTTTGGAGTATCATTTGGAGTAGTGGACATTTCACAATAAAGCTGACTCGAACTTTCTTTGGATTAGTTTGATATACTCTTTCTTTGAGATAGCGCCATCAAAAGAAGTTTCAAGGGTTAAAATATGAAGGATAACCTGGTGCAAAGTCGTTGAAGTTCAAGGCAAATATATTGAACATATTGTTGTTTAAATGGTATCTAATTGAATGATATTTGAGATATATATATATAATATATTTCCTTTTTCGGCCCTGTGGGCACTAAGAGGACCTTTTTTCCCCCTCAGGTTCCCACGTCCATCATGGGTTCGGCTAGGCCCATAATGGGGCAGCCCGGTAGTGATGGACGGGGCCCAGTATATTCAATATTTATCTACAACCTAGTTATATTATTATGAACTTTCAATTATTTAACTAGTCACTACTTAAAATTATACAATTATTTATTTAGTTATGTTTAAATAACATGTATTATAGAAATTTTTTTAAAAATTATTTATTATGCCATAATAACATGTGTATATGATAATATTGTATTTTTGCATAATTTTGGTCTTGTGAATAATATAATCAATTACATTAAAAATTATTTATAACACAATAAACATAAAAATATACTTTTATTTTTATGAAGGTCGTTACTATTGAGGAAAAACCATTTGTATGGACAAGACCAATCCCTTATGAAGGCGAATGTGGAGAAAATGAAATACTTTGTCCTAAGCATAATACAACAAATGGTATATATTTTTCTGTTATATTTTGAATTTTACAAAATTATTTTTTAAAATGTTAATGATTTTCTTTTAACAATTGTAAAATGACGAGAGTTCGGATTGCACTTGCGGCCAAACCGATCTGTTAATGGCTGGGTAAATTTTTCTATACGAATAAAAATTTCTTATATAGAAAAAATATGTAACTTGAATAGCAAATTTTATATTTTCTATAATTTAAAATNAAAATACTGTCGGCTAGAACGGATTAATTGTATTTGCATTAATTTCTATGGGAAAAATTGCTTCGGTTAACGAATGGACTCGTGGAACGGATTACGTTCGTTAACCGAGATTCCACTGTATTACACTTAAAATAATAAAATAGCAAATTTTATATTTTCTATAATTTAAAATATTATAAGATTCACGACTTTTCTATATTTTCAGGTGAAACTCAATATTATTGTTGTCGCGGTTATTGTATGGATTTATTGAATGCTCTCTCGAATTCGCTGAATTTTACATTTGACCTGTATCAAGTAGAAGATAGGCAATATGGAAGTTTCGATTATGTAAGTATAAAATTAAATATCATTAAAAAAGTAAATAAAATTATGTTTATCGTCTCGTCATTGTGTAAACTCAATGTACATGTAAGAACTACACGTAGTTCCTAAGATCCAACTAGAATTATTCATTGCGATGACGATGATCAGATGTAGCGTAATATCGTTACACTATGGTGCTGATGATTTTAGTAGATGTAGGGATTGTAAAATGATAATAAATTCAAATTTATGTTCGAATTCTGTAACTGCATTCAAGATTCCTTCTTGTAAAATCGAAGCAGTATCGTGGATTTAAATTGATTTTTGAATAATAAAAAAATAATTTCAACAAATCATAAACTTTCAATTTACATAAAATTAACTCGGTAAATTTACAGATAATTCAATTTAATATTGTAATATTGTCACTTTCAGAATTACTGTTCTTCATAAATCACATTGCACAATGACTTATCTTCATTATGCAAATTTAAGTTTATTTTATGATTAATTTATACTATAAACTATTTTCTTTTTTATTGTAACAATGTTTAGGTAAATGGTTCTCAAAAGAAAATGTGGACAGGAATGGTTGGGGACTTATATTACGAAAGAGCAGACATGGTGGTTGCACCATTAACAATTAACCCCGAACGCTCAGAAGTCATCGAATTCTCTAAACCATTTAAGTATCAAGGAATAACGATCCTGGAAAAGAAGGTAAAGACTTACTTAGAGTGTATATATATGTGTATATATATATACACGCTCTATATGTGTGTGTAAATCTTGAGATTCAATTCATTGTTCTTTATCTTCTAGCAACCAAAAAGTTCCACATTAGCATCATTTCTTCAACCTTTTCAAAAAACGTTATGGATACTCGTAATGGTTTCTGTGCATGTTGTTGCATTAGCTCTTTATTTATTAGATCGTTTTAGTCCTTTCGGACGTTATAAACTTCCTAATAACGATGCAACAGAAGAGGATGCTCTAAATTTATCAAGTGCCATATGGTTTGCGTGGGGTGTACTTTTAAACAGTGGAATTGGCGAAGGTTCATTATCTAACTTATTAATGATAATAGTATATAATTCTGTATTTTATATCCAAAATTTATTTATTTTTAAATAGGCACGCCTCGTAGTTTTAGTGCTAGGGTATTGGGTATGGTTTGGGCAGGTTTTGCTATGATCGTTGTTGCTTCTTATACTGCTAATTTGGCAGCCTTCTTAGTGCTTGATCGTCCAGAAACTTCGCTAACTGGAATTAATGATGCTCGTGTAAGTAAAATAACTTAAAATTTTCTTAAATTTCAAAATCTTAATTGCAATAATTGATTAAAATTGCGTGTAGTTATATTTTAATCTTCTCTATCGCAGTTTTGAATCAAATCCCGAACATTAAGTAACATTTCGTTAAAGATATTAAGTTATATCAGGCTGATATTTTAGAATTATTTATTATGCTATTTTGATGTATATAGTTGAGAAATCCAATGGAAAATTTTATTTATGCAACTGTTAAAGGAAGTTCCGTGGATATGTATTTTCGTAGGCAAGTAGAATTATCAAACATGTATCGAACAATGGAAGGGAAAAATTACGAAACTGTTGAAGAAGCCATCACTGCAATTAAATCAGGGTAAACAATGTCATGTTTTTTTTCCATTGATAATTCATTGATGGATATAAAATTTGTGATTTATAATTACAATTAAATTACAAATGCTACGTCAGACTAAATAAAATTATATATAAGTCATAACTCTATTTTAATTTAGATTAATGGAAAGATTTTCAACTATTTTCATTCTTTATATTTCAGAGAATTAAATGCTTTTATTTGGGATTCGTCTCGATTAGAATACGAAGCGGCACAAGACTGTGATTTAGTTACTGCTGGTGAACAATTTGGACGTTCCGGTTATGGAATTGGATTGAAGAAAAGTAGTTTCTGGGCTGAACATGTAACATTAGCTCTACTTAGTATGCATGAAAGTGAGTTTGGCTCAATATACATACAGTCGACCCCCCTATAACGCGGTAGATACGTTCCACTTTATAAGAATTTCACGTTATAGGAATCCTTAAATATATGAGCCAATCACAGCCCGGCACGTGTGCAGTTCACGGACTACGGCTGTTTGAAAGATTTTCTTCCATAAAATTAATCCATTCTAGACTAATTCGACTTAACATTTCCAAAATACGTATAATTTTTGGAGAATAATCCATATAAACTATGCTATAAACAAAAAATTGTAGGATTACTTACCGAGTGTGCACCGTTCGACGACGCCATTGCTTAAGCTTGTTTTCGTCGCGAAGCAGCGCACCAAACGGCGGGCGCGTTTTCTGATAAGTTATTTTTCTGGGAAAAATTCTTTGAACTTTGGAGACATCATTAATAGAAATAATTTTTATGGCCGTTGAATAAGAAATGTTTTTTCACAAGAAATGTATAAAATTACAGTACTGTATTAGACTTACAGTACCTAATTTATATACTGTATAGACGATAGTAAACTCAACTTACCCACCTAAACTCTCCATAGGGTGTAAGTAGTTCGGCTGCTCGTCCACTATTGGTCCAGATTCGACCAATCCTGTCGCGACACGAGTCGGCGATGACGTTTTACCGCATTTTACGAGTCTCTTTTAGCGTTTTTATACGAATACGGTCGCAATTTTTTCGCCGCGATATACGAATCCGCATTATATGAACCCGCGTTATAAGGGGTCGACTGTATTTCATACAATTATAGTTTCAGTTTAACTTAAAATTAGGAAAAAATAAATAGTTCTACTTTAGATCTAATTGTATTACTATGTTGAGACTTCTTTCTGTAAGAAGGAACATCAATTCACACAACGCTTGTTTTGTCAAACTATCTTGGTTTCATCAATTGTTATGTCTTTGACAATTGAAGAAGAAGAAGAATTCCAAAACGTGTCTACGGCAATTGATGAAATAAAGATGGTTTCTTAAGGCAAGCATTGGTGTGGATTGATGTTCCTTCCTACAGAAATAATTCGAAAACTAAATATTCAAATCTATATGTCAATTTTCACATATGTCAACGTTCTACATAAAAATGCTTTTCACAGTAACATGGTAATACAGTATTTGTTGTAAATTCACGTAATATCATTTCTAATTGCACTGATGGGAAATAAATTAAATTAAATAAATTACAAAATTATGTAATAATAATTTATAATTAAGTTGCTACGTTATTCAAATACTGTATTTATTAGTTACAAACGTTACAAAAGTTATTCTAAAGGCAAAGCTTTTCGTTCAATATACATATTACGACACTTTAACAAATTAAATACTGTAATAACTTTTTAAAAATCCTTTAAAATCACACACAGCGTTAACGGCAGTTTTGGACTATCGTTATATAAAATAATAAATTACAGTAATCATAAAAAGTAAACAATTTTATAATTCAAAAAGCGTATATTTATTTTAAAATGTAACATAAGCTGTTAATGTTGAACTCTAAAGAAATGAAATATATATATTGTAGGATGTTCCAAAAGGCTCTTAACTTGGTTAACTGACTTTTGGGTTATGTTTTCTATTACTAATAATAGGCTAAAACTATTATTGATATGTTTCTAAGTTACTATTGAATATAACATTTTTATATTATTTGAATTACATGCTTAAAATTGATTATATCTGTTTTATAATTACTTTTTTATGTAAAAGCTTCTTTAAAAAATGAATTACAATTTTAAATATATAACATTTTTATCCAAATTAAGGTGGTGATATGGAAGATTTGGATAATAAGTGGATTTTGCAAGGGGGTGATAAGTGTGATAATAAAAATGAAAAATTCCCTGCAACCTTAGGATTGAAGAATATGGCAGGTAAAGTAATTTATAGTAAAATTAATATCATAAATATAATTTTTATAATTAAAAACTAGTGTTTTTAATATATTTAAATTGTTATTTTTCAATTAGGAGTGTTCATCTTGGTTGGGGCAGGAATAGTGGGCGGTATTGGACTTATTATTATAGAGATTATTTATAAGAAACATCAAACAAGGAAGCAGCGTCGAATGGAAGCTGCAAGGAATTGTGCAGATAAATGGAGAGGAACCGTTGAGGTGAATAAATTTATCCTTGTTACAATTTTCCGGAGGTTTTGTAGCATAATCGTATACGCAGAAAGTAAAAAACGCCATAATTAATTAAGAAATTCTCTCTTCTATCAATGTTATGCCATTATATAACTTGATATACAATACATTTATTCTTGAATGTTTCTAATGATTTCAATAATTATGATGTAAATTATTTATAGTAAAAACATTTATATTTACTTAAAGTCGAGTTCTTTAATTTTTATTTCATTGTTCAACTTTCAAAATCTTTCAGAAGAAGGTAAGTTTTGGCTATTGAAACAATAAGATGCATCCTTTTACTTCCCAAGCATGCACAGGAGTCAAAATATCATCCTGATTCTTTTCTTTATTCTAAGAGAGAATTTTATAAATTATTATAATTAATTTTAATAAATGTTTATAAATAATTGTTTTAAAATAATTGTCTATGTAATTGTCTGAGAAAATTTTAAAATATTAGAGTTTTGAATATTCATATAGGAAAATATGGATTAAAATGACAATGTCGCATTTATTTTGAAGATTAAATAAAAAAATATATTGCTAATAGACAAAATTATGTTTAACATTAAATAAAACTATATCTATTTTATTACTTAAATAAGAATACATTTCTAAATAATATATAATAAATAAAAATAATAAATTTGTCATCTTGCTCACCCTTTCTTATTTCTGGTTTATGAATAGTACAGCAATTAACTGCAGGTATTTATGTAACAATAATCCTTGAAAATTAATATTAATTCCCCTCCAAAAAAACCCTAAATAATTTGAAATTTTCGTACTATTTAGCAAATGCTTCAGCATTATGTTCGATTTTATAGTATTGTATACGTAAATACGTTCAATTGCATGTAAACAATCCCTAATATTGTTAAGATGTGTATTTGTTCTAGAAGCGCAAGACATTAAGAGCCACACTCCTAAACCAGAAAAGACCAAAAAGTAACGGAATGGAAGCCTTTACTGTTGAAAGAGGAATGAGAGGATTGATGACAATGACATCGACAACAACCACCACCATAACTACAACAGTAACTAATGTGGATCCTCCCCCTCCACCACCACCGCCACGAACGGTACCGCCTTCTGGTATCCTACCATCTATACTAACAGTCGATATACCACCGAACGAACCCGATCCCGATATTCATAACATCCCACCTCCTCCACCACCACCTTCTTCCTCTCCAGCAATACGTTTGAGAGGAAGAAGAGTGGTTTACGCATCTAGAAATCATCCCGAATATAGTGCACACGATGCAACAGTTTAAAATGGTACAAGTTAAAATTGTGGTGCTATTAACGGTATTAAATAAATAAATAAATAAACATTTTAAGCAATGATATTGATTTGATATTTCGCTAAANTGAAAGGTTTTCTTCCATAAAATTAATCCATTCTAGACTAATTCGACTTAACATTTCCAAAATACGTATAATTTTTGGAGAATAATCCATATAAACTATGCTATAAACAAAAAATTGTAGGATTACTTACCGAGTGTGCACCGTTCGACGACGCCATTGCTTAAGCTTGTTTTCGTCGCGAAGCAGCGCACCAAACGGCGGGCGCGTTTTCTGATAAGTTATTTTTCTGGGAAAAATTCTTTGAACTTTGGAGACATCATTAATAGAAATAATTTTTATGGCCGTTGAATAAGAAATGTTTTTTCACAAGAAATGTATAAAATTACAGTACTGTATTAGACTTACAGTACCTAATTTATATACTGTATAGACGATAGTAAACTCAACTTACCCACCTAAACTCTCCATAGGGTGTAAGTAGTTCGGCTGCTCGTCCACTATTGGTCCAGATTCGACCAATCCTGTCGCGACACGAGTCGGCGATGACGTTTTACCGCATTTTACGAGTCTCTTTTAGCGTTTTTATACGAATACGGTCGCAATTTTTTCGCCGCGATATACGAATCCGCATTATATGAACCCGCGTTATAAGGGGTCGACTGTATTTCATACAATTATAGTTTCAGTTTAACTTAAAATTAGGAAAAAATAAATAGTTCTACTTTAGATCTAATTGTATTACTATGTTGAGACTTCTTTCTGTAAGAAGGAACATCAATTCACACAACGCTTGTTTTGTCAAACTATCTTGGTTTCATCAATTGTTATGTCTTTGACAATTGAAGAAGAAGAAGAATTCCAAAACGTGTCTACGGCAATTGATGAAATAAAGATGGTTTCTTAAGGCAAGCATTGGTGTGGATTGATGTTCCTTCCTACAGAAATAATTCGAAAACTAAATATTCAAATCTATATGTCAATTTTCACATATGTCAACGTTCTACATAAAAATGCTTTTCACAGTAACATGGTAATACAGTATTTGTTGTAAATTCACGTAATATCATTTCTAATTGCACTGATGGGAAATAAATTAAATTAAATAAATTACAAAATTATGTAATAATAATTTATAATTAAGTTGCTACGTTATTCAAATACTGTATTTATTAGTTACAAACGTTACAAAAGTTATTCTAAAGGCAAAGCTTTTCGTTCAATATACATATTACGACACTTTAACAAATTAAATACTGTAATAACTTTTTAAAAATCCTTTAAAATCACACACAGCGTTAACGGCAGTTTTGGACTATCGTTATATAAAATAATAAATTACAGTAATCATAAAAAGTAAACAATTTTATAATTCAAAAAGCGTATATTTATTTTAAAATGTAACATAAGCTGTTAATGTTGAACTCTAAAGAAATGAAATATATATATTGTAGGATGTTCCAAAAGGCTCTTAACTTGGTTAACTGACTTTTGGGTTATGTTTTCTATTACTAATAATAGGCTAAAACTATTATTGATATGTTTCTAAGTTACTATTGAATATAACATTTTTATATTATTTGAATTACATGCTTAAAATTGATTATATCTGTTTTATAATTACTTTTTTATGTAAAAGCTTCTTTAAAAAATGAATTACAATTTTAAATATATAACATTTTTATCCAAATTAAGGTGGTGATATGGAAGATTTGGATAATAAGTGGATTTTGCAAGGGGGTGATAAGTGTGATAATAAAAATGAAAAATTCCCTGCAACCTTAGGATTGAAGAATATGGCAGGTAAAGTAATTTATAGTAAAATTAATATCATAAATATAATTTTTATAATTAAAAACTAGTGTTTTTAATATATTTAAATTGTTATTTTTCAATTAGGAGTGTTCATCTTGGTTGGGGCAGGAATAGTGGGCGGTATTGGACTTATTATTATAGAGATTATTTATAAGAAACATCAAACAAGGAAGCAGCGTCGAATGGAAGCTGCAAGGAATTGTGCAGATAAATGGAGAGGAACCGTTGAGGTGAATAAATTTATCCTTGTTACAATTTTCCGGAGGTTTTGTAGCATAATCGTATACGCAGAAAGTAAAAAACGCCATAATTAATTAAGAAATTCTCTCTTCTATCAATGTTATGCCATTATATAACTTGATATACAATACATTTATTCTTGAATGTTTCTAATGATTTCAATAATTATGATGTAAATTATTTATAGTAAAAACATTTATATTTACTTAAAGTCGAGTTCTTTAATTTTTATTTCATTGTTCAACTTTCAAAATCTTTCAGAAGAAGGTAAGTTTTGGCTATTGAAACAATAAGATGCATCCTTTTACTTCCCAAGCATGCACAGGAGTCAAAATATCATCCTGATTCTTTTCTTTATTCTAAGAGAGAATTTTATAAATTATTATAATGAATTTTAATAAATGTTTATAAATAATTGTTTTAAAATAATTGTCTATGTAATTGTCTGAGAAAATTTTAAAATATTAGAGTTTTGAATATTCATATAGGAAAATATGGATTAAAATGACAATGTCGCATTTATTTTGAAGATTAAATAAAAAAATATATTGCTAATAGACAAAATTATGTTTAACATTAAATAAAACTATATCTATTTTATTACTTAAATAAGAATACATTTCTAAATAATATATAATAAATAAAAATAATAAATTTGTCATCTTGCTCACCCTTTCTTATTTCTGGTTTATGAATAGTACAGCAATTAACTGCAGGTATTTATGTAACAATAATCCTTGAAAATTAATATTAATTCCCCTCCAAAAAAACCCTAAATAATTTGAAATTTTCGTACTATTTAGCAAATGCTTCAGCATTATGTTCGATTTTATAGTATTGTATACGTAAATACGTTCAATTGCATGTAAACAATCCCTAATATTGTTAAGATGTGTATTTGTTCTAGAAGCGCAAGACATTAAGAGCCACACTCCTAAACCAGAAAAGACCAAAAAGTAACGGAATGGAAGCCTTTACTGTTGAAAGAGGAATGAGAGGATTGATGACAATGACATCGACAACAACCACCACCATAACTACAACAGTAACTAATGTGGATCCTCCCCCTCCACCACCACCGCCACGAACGGTACCGCCTTCTGGTATCCTACCATCTATACTAACAGTCGATATACCACCGAACGAACCCGATCCCGATATTCATAACATCCCACCTCCTCCACCACCACCTTCTTCCTCTCCAGCAATACGTTTGAGAGGAAGAAGAGTGGTTTACGCATCTAGAAATCATCCCGAATATAGTGCACACGATGCAACAGTTTAAAATGGTACAAGTTAAAATTGTGGTGCTATTAACGGTATTAAATAAATAAATAAATAAACATTTTAAGCAATGATATTGATGCTCGTCCACTATTGGTCCAGATTCGACCAATCCTGTCGCGACACGAGTCGGCGATGACGTTTTACCGCATTTTACGAGTCTCTTTTAGCGTCTTTATACGAATACGGTCGCAATTTTTTCGCCGCGATATACGAATCCGCATTATATGAACCCGCGTTATAAGGGGTCGACTGTATTTCATACAATTATAGTTTCAGTTTAACTTAAAATTAGGAAAAAATAAATAGTTCTACTTTAGATCTAATTGTATTACTATGTTGAGACTTCTTTCTGTAAGAAGGAACATCAATTCACACAACGCTTGTTTTGTCAAACTATCTTGGTTTCATCAATTGTTATGTCTTTGACAATTGAAGAAGAAGAAGAATTCCAAAACGTGTCTACGGCAATTGATGAAATAAAGATGGTTTCTTAAGGCAAGCATTGGTGTGGATTGATGTTCCTTCCTACAGAAATAATTCGAAAACTAAATATTCAAATCTATATGTCAATTTTCACATATGTCAACGTTCTACATAAAAATGCTTTTCACAGTAACATGGTAATACAGTATTTGTTGTAAATTCACGTAATATCATTTCTAATTGCACTGATGGGAAATAAATTAAATTAAATAAATTACAAAATTATGTAATAATAATTTATAATTAAGTTGCTACGTTATTCAAATACTGTATTTATTAGTTACAAACGTTACAAAAGTTATTCTAAAGGCAAAGCTTTTCGTTCAATATACATATTACGACACTTTAACAAATTAAATACTGTAATAACTTTTTAAAAATCCTTTAAAATCACACACAGCGTTAACGGCAGTTTTGGACTATCGTTATATAAAATAATAAATTACAGTAATCATAAAAAGTAAACAATTTTATAATTCAAAAAGCGTATATTTATTTTAAAATGTAACATAAGCTGTTAATGTTGAACTCTAAAGAAATGAAATATATATATTGTAGGATGTTCCAAAAGGCTCTTAACTTGGTTAACTGACTTTTGGGTTATGTTTTCTATTACTAATAATAGGCTAAAACTATTATTGATATGTTTCTAAGTTACTATTGAATATAACATTTTTATATTATTTGAATTACATGCTTAAAATTGATTATATCTGTTTTATAATTACTTTTTTATGTAAAAGCTTCTTTAAAAAATGAATTACAATTTTAAATATATAACATTTTTATCCAAATTAAGGTGGTGATATGGAAGATTTGGATAATAAGTGGATTTTGCAAGGGGGTGATAAGTGTGATAATAAAAATGAAAAATTCCCTGCAACCTTAGGATTGAAGAATATGGCAGGTAAAGTAATTTATAGTAAAATTAATATCATAAATATAATTTTTATAATTAAAAACTAGTGTTTTTAATATATTTAAATTGTTATTTTTCAATTAGGAGTGTTCATCTTGGTTGGGGCAGGAATAGTGGGCGGTATTGGACTTATTATTATAGAGATTATTTATAAGAAACATCAAACAAGGAAGCAGCGTCGAATGGAAGCTGCAAGGAATTGTGCAGATAAATGGAGAGGAACCGTTGAGGTGAATAAATTTATCCTTGTTACAATTTTCCGGAGGTTTTGTAGCATAATCGTATACGCAGAAAGTAAAAAACGCCATAATTAATTAAGAAATTCTCTCTTCTATCAATGTTATGCCATTATATAACTTGATATACAATACATTTATTCTTGAATGTTTCTAATGATTTCAATAATTATGATGTAAATTATTTATAGTAAAAACATTTATATTTACTTAAAGTCGAGTTCTTTAATTTTTATTTCATTGTTCAACTTTCAAAATCTTTCAGAAGAAGGTAAGTTTTGGCTATTGAAACAATAAGATGCATCCTTTTACTTCCCAAGCATGCACAGGAGTCAAAATATCATCCTGATTCTTTTCTTTATTCTAAGAGAGAATTTTATAAATTATTATAATTAATTTTAATAAATGTTTATAAATAATTGTTTTAAAATAATTGTCTATGTAATTGTCTGAGAAAATTTTAAAATATTAGAGTTTTGAATATTCATATAGGAAAATATGGATTAAAATGACAATGTCGCATTTATTTTGAAGATTAAATAAAAAAATATATTGCTAATAGACAAAATTATGTTTAACATTAAATAAAACTATATCTATTTTATTACTTAAATAAGAATACATTTCTAAATAATATATAATAAATAAAAATAATAAATTTGTCATCTTGCTCACCCTTTCTTATTTCTGGTTTATGAATAGTACAGCAATTAACTGCAGGTATTTATGTAACAATAATCCTTGAAAATTAATATTAATTCCCCTCCAAAAAAACCCTAAATAATTTGAAATTTTCGTACTATTTAGCAAATGCTTCAGCATTATGTTCGATTTTATAGTATTGTATACGTAAATACGTTCAATTGCATGTAAACAATCCCTAATATTGTTAAGATGTGTATTTGTTCTAGAAGCGCAAGACATTAAGAGCCACACTCCTAAACCAGAAAAGACCAAAAAGTAACGGAATGGAAGCCTTTACTGTTGAAAGAGGAATGAGAGGATTGATGACAATGACATCGACAACAACCACCACCATAACTACAACAGTAACTAATGTGGATCCTCCCCCTCCACCACCACCGCCACGAACGGTACCGCCTTCTGGTATCCTACCATCTATACTAACAGTCGATATACCACCGAACGAACCCGATCCCGATATTCATAACATCCCACCTCCTCCACCACCACCTTCTTCCTCTCCAGCAATACGTTTGAGAGGAAGAAGAGTGGTTTACGCATCTAGAAATCATCCCGAATATAGTGCACACGATGCAACAGTTTAAAATGGTACAAGTTAAAATTGTGGTGCTATTAACGGTATTAAATAAATAAATAAATAAACATTTTAAGCAATGATATTGATTTGATATTTCGCTAAATGTTAATAAAAAATGAAAAGAGCATGTTGAATTGTTTGTATTCAATTGAATATTTAATTTATTCAGATCAAATATATTCTATAAAATATATGTATATATAAATAAATAAATATATATATATACAGATATATAAATGTATGTTCATTAAATATCTATATTTACAAAGCAAGTAAATAAAATATTATATCACGAAAGTTAATCTTGAGTTTTTTGTGTTTTATTTTAATTAATATAATTATTTTTTATAAATTACAGAATTAATTTTAGACCGAACAGTATGGGATTTCAATATTAGTATAACTGTACTTTCGGCATTTGACAGACGCATTTTACCACTTGTACAGGGATACGTTCAGGGAATAATGAAATCTCATAAAATCTATTCTCTAGTCTTCTATAGTTAGGACGTTAAGTGCAGTATTGATGTGCAAACTATTTCTTGCGTAATTGGGCTGTATTTTGAAAAAAAAATTGTAGACATAAATTCCCACTGTCTTTCCTTAATCTCGAGAATGGTGTTAGATAAATGAAATCTAAGACCAGATATGGAAACCTTAAGGGCAGGAGGTCCCGATTAACTATATAAGAATTTCGATGCAAACCGAAAATCACGCTATTTAAATTCAAAAATTTTCTCTTAAAAGGTGTTAGATGACTGGCACGATTCTATTGTTAAAGAAAAAGTGTGATGTACAGGGGCAAGCCATTACTAATACCTGATTTAAAATGACTGATAACTTAAAAGTCAATAATCTACGTTTATTGATTACGTTTATTACTGCATTTCGAAATATTCATATGAGAGCTGTCCATAAATTATGTCAACATTTTTCTTGAAATTTTTACTTCTCTTCCCCAGTTTGTCCAAGTCTCCGTAACTCTCTTCCCTCTTCAGACGAAATTAAAATTGTGATTTATGTAATGAGCAATCGCATTTGTGTTAAGTATTTCATGCAGGTGCACAGCTTTCTACCTTAAAGTGTCATGGCGGACGCACGTTCAATTCACTTGAAAGATGCGGCTCGGTTTGCGGTCTAGTAATTATATGTCCTAGGAATAATGTGTTGTTTTAATGGCGGAAAGCCCAACGCGGTTAACTGAGATAACCGACATTAGAATATGAATAGCAGAGAATAATAAATTTAACACAGATTCTACACAAATAATCATATGTAATTTAATTCAAAGGACAAAACAAATGAATCTTATTCAAAGTAATATTTTTTATCGAAAGATCTTAATCGAGGAATAAGTGTATTTTGCACACCAGTTCTTTCCTGATCCCAGAAATTACCGACGTAAGGCGAGGTATACCTCGCCTTACGTCGAGGAAAACGACATAAGTCGAATTTACTTGTCTCCGAATCTACTTGTCACTAGGCAAAACCATAAATTGCCTATTCCGGTTCTGTATTTTATTTATTAATGCATTTTTAATAATATATGGTTAATAAGGATCTGTTTTAAGCTTACAAACAAATAAATTTTAGTTTTTAATATAGTACAGAAAAAAGTAATCTAAATTTACGAATGCGTGTACTGTAAATACAGTACAGTATATACTTGTAAATGTATTTATTTAAATATGATTTTATGTGCTTTAAACGCTTTTCTAGTGATATTACGACTTCAATATTTGTGGCGGACAGACGTAAAGTCGAATAAAATGACTTAAACTTGATTTTTATTTTTCCATATACTTTTTTGACAAACGACGTATAATCGGGAACGACGTAACTCGAAACGACGTAAGTCGAGGTATAGGCCTACCTGTATCCCTAATCCAAAATCTTCTTCGGCGACGTCTTCTAGTTATAAAAAAGATCGATACAAAACGAAATTTGTAAACCGAAGAGAATGGTAGTGTCCGTGTTATTCGACATCCTAAATATTGCATGCATGCAATGAAATCTAAATAGACTGTTGCTTATATGCGTTTGCAACATCAATTTTCGCTGCCGCGCCGCATGTGTGCATCTTCTCTTAAGCCGGATGCACACATGCGGCGCGGCAAGGAAAAGCGGCAGGATGACGTCACTTTTTCTCGCCGCAGAAGTCGATTTTGTGCCGCTTTTCTCGTGCCGCAAAAGTTGGTTGAATTTTATCTTTTGCGGCAACCGCCGCCAAGACGCGTTTCTATCAGCCAATAACAGTTCGTCTGACAGTCACGTGATAAAATAGAACCACGTGGTGTTTTAATGGCGGACGGTTCAACAAAGTTCATTGTGAAAACTAACAGAAGAAACAGAGGAGATATGGCATTCGATACGGAGGCATTTATTGGAATGGTCGAAAATTATCCTTTCCTATACGATAAAAGCAGAAAGGAATTTAAAGATGTTTCTTTTAAACACACTTAAGGCGCAGACACGCGGCACCCTAGCGAGCCGCAGGAACCCGGTTGAAAACGCACAAATTGGTGGTTCGTAATATTTGTTGTTTCGCTTTTCTATGTAACATGTACAGTAAACGCCTAATTACGAACGTCGTAATCTATATATATAAAAATGAATGTATGTGTGTCTGTCTGTGTGTGTGTGTGTGTGTGTGTGTCCTTCATGCATTACCACACCGTTTATCCGATTACCGTGAAACTTTGGGAAGTTGTTTAATATACTCCAGCGAAGGTTTGTGGCATAGTACGATTGCCATGAAACTTTGGAAAGTTTTTTAATACCCTCCCGCGAAGTACATTTATCCTACAATAGATGGCGCGCGTTTACACGAGCATTCGAGCAGTGTATTCCATCCATTTCAAATTGTGAAGACCATTTCCCCCTTCAAAAAATATTTCTATATATGCATTTGTTATTTACGATATTCGTAATAATGTTTGTTTAATCACTTTATTTCATTTTTTTTTTTTTGCTAATTATGTGTTCGCTCGAACTTCGTTAAAACCTTAACTGTACCCCAAACAACAACCGAAGTTGTAGGAAGAAATTCGCGTATTTTACCGATCTAGGTATCCCCCNGAAAGTTAATCTTGAGTTTTTTGTGTTTTATTTTAATTAATATAATTATTTTTTATAAATTACAGAATTAATTTTAGACCGAACAGTATGGGATTTCAATATTAGTATAACTGTACTTTCGGCATTTGACAGACGCATTTTACCACTTGTACAGGGATACGTTCAGGGAATAATGAAATCTCATAAAATCTATTCTCTAGTCTTCTATAGTTAGGACGTTAAGTGCAGTATTGATGTGCAAACTATTTCTTGCGTAATTGGGCTGTATTTTGAAAAAAAAATTGTAGACATAAATTCCCACTGTCTTTCCTTAATCTCGAGAATGGTGTTAGATAAATGAAATCTAAGACCAGATATGGAAACCTTAAGGGCAGGAGGTCCCGATTAACTATATAAGAATTTCGATGCAAACCGAAAATCACGCTATTTAAATTCAAAAATTTTCTCTTAAAAGGTGTTAGATGACTGGCACGATTCTATTGTTAAAGAAAAAGTGTGATGTACAGGGGCAAGCCATTACTAATACCTGATTTAAAATGACTGATAACTTAAAAGTCAATAATCTACGTTTATTGATTACGTTTATTACTGCATTTCGAAATATTCATATGAGAGCTGTCCATAAATTATGTCAACATTTTTCTTGAAATTTTTACTTCTCTTCCCCAGTTTGTCCAAGTCTCCGTAACTCTCTTCCCTCTTCAGACGAAATGAAAATTGTGATTTATGTAATGAGCAATCGCATTTGTGTTAAGTATTTCATGCAGGTGCACAGCTTTCTACCTTAAAGTGTCATGGCGGACGCACGTTCAATTCACTTGAAAGATGCGGCTCGGTTTGCGGTCTAGTAATTATATGTCCTAGGAATAATGTGTTAATTTAATGGCGGAAAGCCCAACGCGGTTAACTGAGATAACCGACATTAGAATATGAATAGCAGAGAATAATAAATTTAACACAGATTCTACACAAATAATCATATGTAATTTAATTCAAAGGACAAAACAAATGAATCTTATTCAAAGTAATATTTTTTATCGAAAGATCTTAATCGAGGAATAAGTGTATTTTGCACACCAGTTCTTTCCTGATCCCAGAAATTACCGACGTAAGGCGAGGTATACCTCGCCTTACGTCGAGGAAAACGACATAAGTCGAATTTACTTGTCTCCGAATCTACTTGTCACTAGGCAAAACCATAAATTGCCTATTCCGGTTCTGTATTTTATTTATTAATGCATTTTTAATAATATATGGTTAATAAGGATCTGTTTTAAGCTTACAAACAAATAAATTTTAGTTTTTAATATAGTACAGAAAAAAGTAATCTAAATTTACGAATGCGTGTACTGTAAATACAGTACAGTATATACTTGTAAATGTATTTATTTAAATATGATTTTATGTGCTTTAAACGCTTTTCTAGTGATATTACGACTTCAATATTTGTGGCGGACAGACGTAAAGTCGAATAAAATGACTTAAACTTGATTTTTATTTTTCCATATACTTTTTTGACAAACGACGTATAATCGGGAACGACGTAACTCGAAACGACGTAAGTCGAGGTATGCCTGTA